AATTTAACACGACAGTATACGCTGCACAACACATTAAGATGTAATATGTCAAAGAATAACAGCATGATGTATAATATCTTACAGCTGGGTGTAGTATAGCATAAAACAAAGTAATATAGTATAGTACATGTGTTTATAATATAATGTAATAGCATTAGTACAACACAGAATAGTAGCCAAAGCACCAGCAGCCTTTTTCTGTCAGGCTGACATGCCGCTCACTAACTGTAACTTTCCCTATAGGTCGACTATTTTTATATCTGTAAAGTTTGTTCTCATATCGATTAATGTAACGAGTGTAGCTTAATCAATGAGTGTTTAAACACGTGCGTGAGGCTGCGCCGCGGCCTCGTACCTTCGTCTCCCTCTTCCTCCACCTGATCGGCCCAGCTAGGCTTTGAGCTGTCGAAAACACAAGATATTAGATGCCTATTAAGTTGGAGTACGCATAAACAAAACTATATGGCTTCATTCATATGAAAAACTCACTCGTCGAATTCGATCGACGGCATCTTTACTGGTTGTCTTGAGCCTCGCGAGCAAGCGTTTCCCGGGACTGCTGTTGCGGAGAGGAGACGCCGCACCACAGCGCCCTCTGTGCGTGCGGAGGACTGCAGTGAGACACGATATGTAGAAGAAGAGAGGGAAAAGTGTGCTAAAATCAGCTAGTATGGACTTCTGGACCAGGAACGCGATAGAGAAAAAACATATAAGCATTGAGTACAGTCTAGAACGGCTTCAAAAAGCATCTAGAACGTAGGAACATAACAAAATGCCCTCATAAATATATGTACCCACAAAAATGTCAATGTAACCAACCACAGCTGCTTCTTCCACGAGAAGCAAGCCACGATTTTGAGGTTATCTATAGTTATATATTATGTTTTTAATTGCAGTATTTGTTCTGCTATGTTTTGGCATTAACTGTGCTTACAATGGATAATGTTCTGGGCTATTTAATGATTTTATGTATTGACCATACCTTAAAACATTTTAGTTAGTTTATATAGGCTGTTAGTCAGTCATGATTCTCACAACTTAAACAGTCTTTCTTTAAATAATGTATTCAATGAACGTTAGTATTACACTAGTAACTAGCTAACATTTAGTAGGCTACTGGTCTTGCCCGAGCTTCAGATATTTTGCACACAGTAGATTTTAAGGGATGACTTTCTCTAAAGCTGCTTTTAACCTATATCTATTGTGAAATTGGCTATAGGCTACAAACTTGGCTTAAGCTGAGTTGCATTACTCCTTAATAGCACTAATGTTTTTTCTTTAGGAAGTTTAGGTCTCAGTTCTCTGGATCATTTCTCTCTTCCTAATGTTCTTAAACTTGTATGGTTCCTTGTACTTCTGAACAATGTTTAAAATATAATTTGTGACAGAAGTAATATTTTATAGGCTATCATAAAGGACTAAAGTATTATTGGAGACCGATATACCCTAAAGCTATCATTTTTTTAAAAGTACTACTTAGTTA